TCTTGATAAAAATCTGCTTCCATCTACCAGGATGATGAAGATGAAACATGGCTGGACATTTCAGCAAGACAATGAGCCCAAACACAAAGCCAAGGAAACTCTCAGTTGGTTTCAGAGAAAGAAACTAAAGCTGCTGGAATGGCCCAGCCAATCACCTGACCTGAATCCAACAGAAAATCTATGGAAAGAACTAAAGATCAGAGTTCATAGAAGAGGTCCACGAAACCTTCAAGATTTGAAGACTGTTTGTGTGGAAGAATGGGCCAAAATCACACCTGAGCAATGCATGCCACTAGTTTCTCCATACAGGAGGTGTCTTGAAGCTGTCATTGACAACAAAGGCTTTTGTACAAAGTATTAGATAAATTTCAGTAAGTGTGTTCAATACTTTTTCCCTGTGCCATTCCACATTATTACAAATAACTTCATTTCTGGACATTTATGGTTTGATTTCTTTGTATGTATGGATCACTTGGGTTGTTACCAACATCTGGTGAAATTTTCATGTCATTAGCACCTCTAGTAATATATTTACTGAGAAAAATGGTGACGTGTTCAATACTTATTTTACCCACTGTAAATAGTCAGGTGTTTGTGTAACACTATAGAGGAACTCTTTTCAAACTCATGCCTTAAATACAAACAACCAACACACAAAACAAGTTTGTTTGATGATTTAGGTCCAGATGAACTTCTGCTAAAGTGGAATCAATGTTTTCCTGATCTAGAGGACACATGCTCAAGATGCCATGTAGGAAGTTTATACAATTCAACAATTCAAATCAGCAGCTGGAGTTACACATCAATGTTTATTTCATTATATCAATAATCAACAAGAACATTCTGCTGACATTTTGAAGGACAAACATCTTTTCTCTCTAAAGCTCAATAATATTTTGGGACTTCTTTTTGTAATAATATATTATTACATACAGATAAATATATATTACGACAAAATGCTTACATTCTGATATAAACACTGTAAAAGAGGTGTAAAGAGAAGCAAGACCAAAGAAAAAGTAAAAGTCCCCTGTCTGTGCCTGTCACTCGCTGACAGCACTCTGAACAAGGCAGGCAGATCAGAAACAGTTTTCTCATCATGTCTTCATTTGTTTTCTGTTTCTACTATGTGACAAAATAAAAAGGGTAGTCCTTTTTCATTTTGACAGTAAATTTCTAAGCTGTAACTGTGTTAAAGTCAGTGGTAGTGCGGTTGTACACACTGCTGGGGGATCTGAGAAAAACATAAGTTATAAAGAAGTGAAAGAAGCACTTAATGAAAAAGAGAAAAATTCTTACAATTTGATGTATTGGTAAATGGTACTGAACTTGTAGAGCACTTTTCAAGTCCCTCAGGACCCCAAAGTGCTTTACACTAACAGACATTCACCCATTCACACACTGATGATGGCAAACTACACTGTAGCCACACACTGACAGAAGTGAGGCTGCCATGCACCGGCACCACCGGACCCTCTGACCACCATCAGTAGGCAAGGTGGGTGAAGTGTCTTGCCCAAAGACTCAATAACTGAGACGGCTGGATGGGGGATCAAACCAGTGACCTTCCGGTTCCACGATGACTCCCCTAACCACTCCACCACAGCCGCCTGTAATGATTAGAGAAGGGGTATTGTGTATTTTCCAGGTACATAATTCAATTTTGTTATGAAAACGCTGTTTATATCAAATTAAATTTGAATTTGCATCATCTAATCGCCTTGAAATTGACTTTTCCCTTTATCTCCTACCGTTTCCAACACTCCCACTTTAGCACATCTTCACAACAATGCTTCGGGGAAGTGGTGCTCAGTGGGGCCAGAGCTTGGACTGAGCTGAAGGGAGGAGTTTTGTACAAATAGGCGGGGCTTTGTACCAGCAGGTGTTTAGGCAGCTCCACATGACTCCCATGAAGATTCAAGGATTTCTGAAACATGCATGAATGAGTCGAAGCAACACGCTGGGTATTTTTTTGGATGAAGGAATGTACAATATAACCTATAATGCTCAAAAAAGTTAATTTTGCCTAATACCCTCCCTTTAAGAAAAGTTAGAGGAGTTTTTTTTTTTTGCAAAACATTTGAAAAGATTTGAGCACCCAAAGCTTAAAATGTGTGTCAGAGCTTAACTTTCCATTATAAAATTCTTAAAAAGTTGTAAAACAAACTGTTATTATAAAAAAAAAAGCCATGGAGAGTGGAGAATGTTTATCTTTCTGTGATTTGTTAAACTTTGAACTATTTTTACTGTGAAGTATGTCTGAGCTGTAGTGCTCCAAATCATGAGAAGGGAAAGTTTTCTATTCTTTTTATAGTTAGTTAGTTAGTTAGTTAGTTAGTTAGTTAGTTAGTTAGTTAGTTAGTTAGTTAGTTAGTTAGTTAGTTAGTTAGTTAGTTAGTTA